TGCTCTTCCGTGTCCACTTCTTTTTCACGTCTGGCTCCTGGCACCCAGGCACCTTTGCTCTGGTCCCTGCCTGAGGCTGCCGCCGCCTCTTGCGTGCACCTCTCCCACCACGGCCCCCGGGCTGTTCCTGGGGCGCAGTGGGGTCAGCCCCTGGACCCTGACGCCGCCTCTTTCTCTCTAATCTGGAACTCAGGTCTCCACGTGGGTCCTCCTGTTCATTTCTCCCTGAAACAGCAAGGCCACATAATGAGGTGCGTGAAGGCCTGGGCTACTTCACTTCAATGCTGATCGAAGGTGCCAGCCCAAGGCAGCAGAGGACACGAGAGCACCTGGCACAGAAGCACCGACAGCCTCAGGAGCAGACATGCACCAGCAGCCGGGGCCCTGCACAAGTGCGGACATGCTGGCTCCTGATACCAGAGAGGCAGCCTCAGAAAGAGCAGTGAGCACAGGATCAAGGCAAAGACATGACAGAGGGGGCGGGCGGGCCCAGGCTCAGTGCACTGGGAGTGGAGGTGATGCTGGTCAGAAGGGACAGGCTCAGAAGCAGGGCCGGGAGCAGGGACTCAGCCTGGTGCACCAGAGCCATGAGATGGCATTTGGGGGCTGCTGGAGTAGGTGCTCGAGTGGGTCCTGTGCCTGCCGCAAGGCCCAGATGTGAAATTATATGAACGGCGGGGACCTGGCCAGAGCAGTGGTGAATCGAGAGACACTTCAAAGGGCACAGCCCATTTCACTGCAGCAGGCAGCCCCAGGCCTGGTGGTCTGCAGTGGGTGCGGGGCCTGGGTGACAGTAGCAGAGTCGTCCTTAGTGAGGCTGTCACATTCTCACCACAATTGTGTGGACAGCTGAGGAGGAGGGAGGAGGCAGGGGAAGGAAAGCCTCTAGAACAGCGGTTCTCAACCTGTGGGTCGCGACCTCTTTGGCGGTCAAACGACCCTTTCACAGGGGTCGCCTAACACCATCCTGCATATCAGATATTTACATGACGATTCATAACAGTAGAACATTACAGTTATGAAGTAGCAACGAAAATAATTTTATGGTTGGGTCACAACATGAGGAACTGTATTTAAAGGGCCAGAAGGTTGGGAACCACTGCTCTAGAATCAAGGAGAGCGGTGAGGCGAACTGGTCTCACGTGGACACTGAGGATGAGTGGATGGGTCAGAACACACAGATGCACAGAGGTTGGCCACCGAAGGAGAGAATAAGAGAGGGCAGCCAGAGCAGGGAGCTTCCTCACCGCCCGGTCCCGGGTCACCTGCTCGTTCCCCGCCAGGCGCTGCGCCAGCTGGATCTCAGGGGGGAGCTGCACCCGCGGAACCAAGGCGATCGCCACTGAGAGCCCCAGGTACCAGGGATAGCGCCGCTGCGCTTCGCCGGGTCGCGCGGTGTGACGTCACACGACCGCGCCGGCCTGGCCCGGGCCCGCTCTCAGACCGTCGGTGCCTGGGAGGGCTTCTCCCTGGCCGCACGCCATCGCCCCGTAGTGGCGGGACAGCGCAACGACAGCTCTAGAGAGTTGTAATTAAAAGGTCACTAAACTTGTGCCCGCCTTTTGGGGGGCGGTAGTTTAACCTGGTTGATGACAGAGGTTCTTTAGCAAAGAAAACCAGCGAGCACAGATAGAAGGAATGGAGGAATTGGAGAAAACTCTGTGCAGCCCCCAGTGAATCTTTGATTCAGGGTGAAAGTCATCAGAAAATGGCAATAAGATAAAGAAAGGTGGTCCAAGCTATCAGTCCCCGCCCCAAGAAATGGCCACTATGGGCGGGGGGCCCTCCCACGCAGCAGCCGCACCTGTGGGAGGTCAAAACTGACCTTCATCCAGCCTTCAGGGCTGCACCCCAGCTGCCAGGACACAGGAAGGCTGAGCAGGGTGCACAAGAAGACAATCACCACCCTAGTCTGGGACAGTTTGCAAGACTGATATCATCACAGAGTTAAAGTCATGGATGAAGGAAGGAATGAACAGCTATATAAAGGAGGGGATGTACTCCTTTACATATTTGCATATACAAATCTTGATTGGATCCTGGTTCAAAGAAAAAGCTCTATGTCATTTGGGGGTCAATTGGGAAAGCTTGCATATGGACTGGATGTTGGATTATAGTGCAGAATAATTGTTTATTTTCTTAGGTGTGACAATGTAGTGTTTATGTTCATGCAGAATGGACTCAGCAGATTTTTTCTGTGAAGGGCCACGTGTCAGGAACCTCAAGCCTAGGGTACAAGGATGGAGGGCTATGATCTATTATGGCAAAGGGACACAAAGCAAATCAGCACAGGAAAAGGTCATACAGAGGGAGTCCAGGAGACACCAGGAGGAGGCTTCCAGAATCCTCTCCAGGTGGAGACACACAGGCCACACTTACCTCCCCAGCAAGGAGATGTGACAACACATGTGAGATGTCGACTACCAGGAAGCAAAATGGAGAAACACCCACTTCCTCTACATTAGTGAGTACAGGATAGTTAACATTTACAGTAAGTAGAGATGGTATGTGGGCAGCAGCATAACTGGTGCCAATGTGGTAATGCCTCCAAGGGGTTTGGAAAAGAAATTTACCGGGACTTATCAAAGGTATCTTATCCTAAATGCATAAGAACAATGAGCAGGTCTGCTTTTGGGAACGATTGGCCTTTCACTAAGGAAGCTATAGGCCAGGGGTGGCCAAACTTTTTGTGAGTGCGTGCCAAAACCGGCAAAATTTCTGACTCAAAATTCTTCTGAGTGCCAACCCTAATATTTTGAGAACATGTTAGGACTACTTGATATCTCTTAAGGTGTATGTATGTGAAGAACATTGAAGAAATAATAAAATTTATTCGAGCGACACAAACACAGTATGATGAAAAATACATTTATTTTTTAATGTATACATGTACACTGATAGTCCGACAGAAAACTTTAGGACTCCATTTGATATTATCAGTGGGACTTTTGCTGCTGCATCACTGATGACAGAGATTTTACATCAGGTTTATATTTCTTGACATTCGGCGATATACACAAGCTACTACTTTCATCCCTCAGGCTACGCCTATTATGAGACTTAACAAAATTCACACTGAGAACAAAGATTCACAATCGTATGTGGATGAAACCAAAACACTGGTCAGATCTAGGGAGATCTGCACATCAGATAAGGCAGAGGAGTAGAAATTGCTCTTCCCCTCTCTCGTCAATCCATGTCTATGGTCTTTAAGATAACTTGTTATGTAAAATTATTTATTTATCTAAGATGCACCTACACTGAATTTATCTGAACAATAAAAAAGTCCATATTAAGAAAAAAATTGTTAGTGGAAGATTATAACAGAGGGTTTCGAGTGCCAGCAAAAGTTACTGGCGTGCCATGTTTGGCACACGTGCCTGGGGTTGCCCACCCCTGCTATAGGCCTAGGATGTGATTACCTGCATGACCTGCCCAGCTACGTATTTATGAAGGAATCACCTTTGCGGTTACTTTCAGGCTCAACAAGCAGCGCCCAGAGCTTGTCAGGTCTGCTATGTAGCCCCTTTTTCACTCATTCAGTCATTCAATTATAACTGAATTGTAGTGGTCTCTCCTTCCCCTACACACCTGGCCTCCCACCCTTCCTTGAATTACACACCAGACTCTTTCCTGGAAGGTACTGAAAAAGCTGGACTCTCCCGCTTACCTGCTCATGGGCCACTCCCATTGGGGTTCTGCACGGAGCCTACAGAAGGGAAGGCTGGGCCTCTCCTGCAGTCAGCACCCAGCAGTGGCAGAGGCCCAGCATCCCCTGAGTTGCAGCCCTGGAGTGGGGAAGGGGGTGTAGCTGGATTGCCACTTCCACCCCAACCTAAGGCCCTGGGAGGCATCTCATCGCTGGACTTCTTTGTGCGTCCTCTGCTCACACACCTCAGCCCTTCACTATGTCCCTGGATCACACGCTGGTGACATCCAGAGTGGCTGATGCAAGGTGGGTGCTGGACCAGGTCTTGCAGATGAGAAGTGCAAAGCAGTCCAATGCACTGGGGAGTGAGGCCAGGCAGGCCTGGTCCTGGACTCCAAGGTGCCCTGGCAGTCTCTGTCCCCAGCTACTTCTGGAGCCCAGTGGGCACAGACGTCTCTACCCACTGCTCTTGGGGACTCTCAGGTCCAGCTCCCACTCACCTCTGGGTCTCTCCCACCTGGAACCTGCCCTGCAGGGGGTGTGGCAGCGGAGGTTGTAGCTTCCAGAGCTCAGGCCCGGGGTGTGGGTTTGCAGCTTCACAGGGAGGAGGACAAATCACAGGAAGAGGGAAGAGCAGATGTTTGGTAACCAGCTGTCTGCCCTGCCATGCAGCTGAGTCTCAGATTTAAAAAAGTTCTCTCTGATCTTTGCTCTCTTTCTGGACCAGGCTCCCTACCCAAATGATTTAATATAATCATTTTATTTTTTGTTCCGCCCTTTATTTTAGAGAGAGGAGGGGAGAGGGAGAGCAAGGGAGAAACATCAACGTGAGAGAGAAACATTGATCAGTTGTCTCCAGTTTAGGGCCCCAGGGGGATATGGAACCCGAAGTTGAACCCACGACCCTTTGGTGCACAGGAGAAAGCTGCAAAGGACTGAGCCACCCCGGCCAGGGCCTTCCCTGAATGCCATGAGGGGAGAGGTGGAAGTTCTCCCCACCCCATGGCTGGGTCTTGGTCGCCCTCCGCTCAACATAATCAACAAGCGAAAGTGGCACCTTTTGGAGGCGCGCAGAGCCGGATACCTCCCCCGCGTGTCTCTGTGGCCAATAAGACCAACACCAAACAGGGCACACGCACTGCAGCGCACGCCAGTGGTCCCCAGGCGGCGCCCTTCACAGGGACCAGGTTGTGCAAGACACAGTCCCTCGCCCAGGTCCCCCCTCCCTACCCGACTCCTATGCCCCACCCCACGGCACCCCACCCCTAACCGGCTTTGGCGCCCCGCCGCTCCCACCGGACCGCCCTCCTCCCCGCCCCCCCTGTGGTTCCGCCCCGGGTCACCTGAGCCCAGGACTTACAACAGAGGGAGGGCCATGCTCTCAGTTATAACCCTCGCTCTGCCTTCGCTGCTAATCTCACTCGCAGGCCATTGCTCTGTGCCCGCTGCTCTTCCCTTCTGTGCCTGCTGCTCCGTGTCCGCTGCTCCGCCATGAGCCTTACGATGAGGGTGCGCCCTCTGAAACCCGGCCCGCCACGGCCGAGATCCAGGCGATCGCGACAAGGTAGGCGGCCGGGTCCTCCGGAGCCCGGGTCGGGTCCCGCCCTGTCCGCAGAGGGGCAGCGCCCGCCGGGATGCGGAGGGTATGGACGCTGGGACAGGGACCCTGGGCCTCGGCTTCTAGAGGGAAGGGCCTGGTGTGCTTGTCCTGGGGCGGTTCCAGTCAGTGAAGCTGGGGAAGGGTCTGCAGGGGTCCTAACTTCTGCCCTGCCTTATTCCAGTGCTCCTTGTGCAAGTAAAACAAAAACAGACACCAGGCTGGGATGCAGAGGCAGAGCCTGGTTCAGACCCTGGGCAGCGCTTGACTCCTGTGCCTCAGTTTCCTCGTCTGTAAAGTGGGCATCACTGGGGTGCCTTCACCGAAGGTTCTGGGGAAGGTGGGCTGGTGGGGCCACAGGAAGGCTCAGGTTCTGAGAAGACACAAAGTCAAACAAACCTGCTGCTTTCCTAACCCCATGGTCGGCAAAGTGCGGCTCCAGAGCTACATTCGGCTCTTTGGCCCCTTGAGTGTGGCTCTTCCTAAGCCTTAGGAGTACCCTAATTAAGTTAATAACAATGTACCTACCTATATTGTTTAAGTTTAAAAAATTTGGCTCTCAAAAGACATTTCAATTGTTGTACTGTTGATATTTGGCTCTGTTGACTAATGAGTATGCGACCACTGCCCTAACCCGATAGAACCCCCACACCCCACCCATTTGCTCAGGTGGTTTAGACCAGGGGTGAGCAAACTTTTTGACTCGAGGGCCACAATGGGTTCTTAAACTGGACCAGAGGGCCGGAACAAAAGCATGGATGGAGTGTTTGTGTGAACTAATATAAATTCAAAGTAAACATCATTACACGGCTGGTTTAGACCATCTGACCACAGTAAAGGACGGTGAGTCAATCCCATGAGACTTTGAAAATGAGGAATGTGTAGGGACTGCGTGGTGAGCCAGCTTTGGCAAAGTTCCTCTCCCACACGGCTCTGAAGCCCAGCCTCTCCTGAGGTTCCCGGTTCCCAGGCCTAAGGAATTCCTCACTTGCTGCATGAACTGTGAATGCCCATCAGCTCAGGAGAGAGGAGTTGCTGTCTCGGGCTCCCTGATGTGGTGCTGGTCACTTGAAAGTGACAAGTAAAGGGCGGTCACTATTGATGCTGGGGGGCAGTTCTTGAGGGCGGGGCTTTGCCTGTGGCTCCTAGAGGACAGGGCAGGGACACCCTCTTGCTGCCTCAGGTCCTGACTCCTCCCCAAGCTCTCTGGGCTGCAGGTGTGGAGGACACAGGTCAGAGAGGGAGCCCTGGCCAGAGGATGTCAAAGTCCCAAATTCTGGCTCAGCCTCCTCAAGTAGTGCCCACCAGTACCCACCTTGGCCTTCCCTGGCCCTCTGCAGTCTCCTGGCCCCGTGAGGGCTGGTTCTGGCAACTTCCTCCCCATCCCCAGGCCTTTCGTGCTCCCCTTGGCTCTAGTACAGCCCGTCTTTCTCCCGGTCCACAGTACCATCAGTGAACTGTCACCACGGGCAGTGCCTGGAGGCTGCCACATGCCCAGTCCCATCTCCTGCATTTGGGTCTTCTCACCATTCCTGCTTTCCTGCCTCCACTCCTGAAACAGGCCAAGAGGGAGGCCATTCCTTCCCAGACTCCCGTGTGCGTTTGTGTGTGTCACTCATCCCCACAGGCTTGTCCACCTTCTGCAGGGTCAGATCCCTGCGGACCAAACATGACACCTTACATGACAGGTAAGCACTGAGACACAGGTAGGCCTTCAGTGAGAACCCTGCTGCCTCATGCAGAGGGCAGAGGAGTGGCAGGAGGGGCCTGCCTTCTTCATTCCTGACCCTCCCTCCTGTCCTTAGCTGCTGACTCCATTCTCCCTCCATTCTTATCCCTGGTTAGGGCCCCTCCCTCAAGGCGCAGGCAGGCCACATGCCTCGTGCCGGCCCCGAGTTTGACAGGCTTGGTCCTGCATTGCGAGGAATACTCTGTAAAGGGTGGGCCTTAGAGGTCAGTTTGTAACATTTGACATGAGGCCGCAGCTCCTGTGTCAGTCACTCTTGCAGGAAGGAAGACACTGAGTTCCCCTCTCTCCTGCCCCCTAGGTGAAGTCCCAGCTGGAGGAGAAGGAAAACAAGAAGTACCCCACTTTCAAGGCCACGGAGTACAAGAGCCAGGTGGTCCAGGGGACTAACTACTTCATCAAGGTGGAGTGTCTGCTACAGGGGTGCTCATGCAGATGTGGGGAGATGGGGGACTTACAGGAGCCAAGACAGGGGTGCTTAAGGGGGTTCCTGTAGCCTTGGCTGCTGTGGCTCAACGGATAGAGCGTCCGTCTACTCACAAAAGGGCCTGGGGTTTGATTCCCTGTCAAGGGCGGGTACCTGGGTTGCAGGTTAGATTCCTGGCCTCAGTTGGGGTCCATGCAGGAGGCAATCAGTCAAAGTATCTCTCCCTCTCTCTTTTTCTCTAAAAAATCAATAAAGATATTTTTGAAATATTAAAATGAGTGTGCATGCACTCCTGCAGGCCTCCATGGAGGAGAGAAATGAGCTTTCAGGGCAACTAAGGGCTCTGAGGAGTGCATGTAGCATGCCAGGGGTGCTGGCTGGGGTGATGGGCATCTGCTACGCCCAAAGGAGGAAGACGGGATTGTCACCACCCTAGTGGCTGATGCCCTGAAGCAGTGGTTCTCAACGTTCTGGCCCTTTAAATACAGTTCCTCATATTGTGACCCAACCATAAAATTATTTTCGTTGCTACTTCATAACTGTATTGTTGCTACTATTATGAAACGTAATGTAAATATCTGATTTGCAGGATGTTCTTTGGGTGACCCCTGTGAAAGGGTCGTTTGACTACCAAAGGGGTCGCCACCCAGAGGTTGAGAACCGCTGCCCTGAAGGGACTCGGCCTCCAGGCTCTCAGGGCCTTTTTCACACAGTCCGCCAGGCACAGGGACTTGGGGTCAGAGGCAGCACCTGCCCCCCTCACTCGACTCTCTTTGCAGGTTCAAGTTGCAGATGATGACTTCGTGCACCTTTGTGTGTTTCAAAGTCTCCCTCAGGAAAACAAGGCCTTGGCCTTGCACAATTATCAGACCAACAAGACCAAGCAGGATGAGCTGGACTATTTCTAGTTCTGGATTTGAAGTGAACCTTCGCCATGTGGTTCTCTGTCACGTGTTCGCGTGTCGGGGTCAGAAATGAACGCCGTCTCTATGCTGTGCCACTTTCGCTGGAGGGGCTGCTCTGCACCAATCTGGTGTCTCTGCTTCTGACTTTAACAGCGTGATTTTCCTCCCAACCAATGATCTTAACTAAATTGCTTTCCAAGAGGGCTTAGATGATCCCTAAATAAATACATTTTTAAGTTTTTACAAATTTCTTCCTTTGCTGTTGGTTTTTTCTTCATCTGAAACCATAACCACCAATAGACGTGTTTACAAAGGTCTTTCATGGTCACACGCCCGGCCTGAGACCCTCCACCTGAGGAGGAGAGCCCAGCGGGGTTGCCCCAGGTCCCAGCCATTGGGGTTCGACCCGGGGCCCCAGGAGTCGCTCCAACTACAGCTCTGAACTCTTCGTCCTGTCTCCAGGCCTCGGTTGCCCCCGTAAGTAAAAGGACGTGAACGAACCCGGTTCTAGACCATGAGTTCCAGATGTGCTCAGTCACACTGTTTCCGTAGCAGCAATGACAGGGCAGGGACCAACGTGTGGCGCAAACCTGCTGCACAGCTGCTCAGAACCGGTGGGCTGGGAGGCCGTGCCGCTCATCCCCTGGGCTGCGGGCACCTGCTCAAAGCCTGAGCCTCTGGAAGGGCCCGTTTTAACAAGGGTCCTGCCCATCAGTGAGGTCAGTGCCTGGTTGGTTTGCCATGAGTTTGTGTGAAAAAGATTAAAAACAGGGCCCCTGACATCAAAGGAGTAACGACTACTTGGTGAAATTTCTACCTGTGTGGCTCAGGGTCAAGGTAGAATATGTGTTCCTGAGGGTTAATGTCGGTCTGACATTCCTGAACCCCACTCGGCTCCCCTGGTCATGTGGCATTTTGTCTGTGTCCTGAGGTCATGAGGAGCGTGGAATGATGAGACAGTGAGCATGAGGAGCCTGGAGAGCAGCAGTGAGAAATCTCTGCACAGTGAGCTGTGTGCGTCCCCGTCCCTCCATGAACTGGAAGAATAAAACTTTCATATCACCCTCTTAGAGTCAAGCAACTCTGCACTCAACAGAAGATGGAACACAGTTCCCACCTGGGGACTTTCAGGGACCGGCAGGGGAGACGGCATTGAGGGTGCTAAGCAGAGCTGACAGCCATGCCCTGCTCTGCCTGGTTAGTAATGGGTGATTGCTTAACGGGTGTGGGTTGTGCCCAGGGTGATGAGGCATCTGTGACAGGAAAGGGGAGACAGTTACACAAGGCTGGGAGGTACGAATGCCCTGGGCTGTGCAATTGAAGTGACTCAGGTGTACTTACTTCCTGTGAATTTCACCTCACTAAAAACATAGCACAAGACAGTCAACCAGAACCAGTCTGGGGGACCCCTTTGGCAGAGTATTTGGGGAACAAATCGCCATTCATTCCCCAGCACTTGCTGCAGGGACCACCTCGGGGTCTCCTGGCAGCGACCTCTCTTCTACAGGATGCTTTTTGGGTCCTGGTACTTGGCCGGCCAGTGAGCCCTTCAGGCTAAGCTGGTAATGGCGCCCCTTCCCTCCAAGTCCCCCTGGGGTGCTGACCACCCCACCCCTTTTACTAAGCACTCAAGTCACTGGTCAGTGCCATCTATTTCCCCAGCACCAAGAAGACAGTGACAAAGGGACCCGCCCCGCCCTTGAGAGTCACAGGCCCTAATTCTCCAGCTGTCCAGGCAGGGACAGCTAAGCAGCACAGGGCGGTCAGCGTGGGTTTGAGAGGCAGAGTCAGGTGCTTCAGACACAAAGCAGATCCCGCGGCCTCCCGCCTCTCCTTGACTTTCTCACAAAGCCTTTTACTGGGGGATGCCCTGAGGGTTTATCTACAAAATGTGGGAGGGTGTATTGTACCTGCTGGGCTAGTAGGACCAGAGCTGTCACCACCCATGTGTGAAGGAATTAGAACCCAGAAGGGGCAGTGACACCTGATGGATGACCAGAGCTTGTCCTCACAATCTAGCAGGGATGGGCCAGGAAACGGAGCCCCACCCTCCTGATCCCAGGGAAGGTCTTGCAGGAACCCTGAGTGGGTAGGGCACCAGAGTGGGTTGGCGGGGAGGGGACTTGGGCCACGATGAGCAGGGCAGGGCAGGCCCTTTCTTTAAGAGGGAGATATTTGCCCGGCCAGCATGGCTCAATGGTTGAGCATTGACCTATGAACCAGGAGGTCAGCCTCATTCTCGGACAGGGCACATGCCAAGATTGCAGGCTGTATCCCCAGTGTGGGTGTGTGTAGGAGGCAGACAATTGATGATTCTCATCATTGATGTTTCTCTCTCTCTCTCCCTCTCTGAAATCAATTAAAATATATATATATATCCTATCCAATAAAAGAGAAATATGCAAATTGACCATACCCCAGAACGCTTCCCAGTGGCTAATCAGCAGGATATGCAAATTAACTGCCAAACAAGATGGCGGCCAGCAGCCAGGCAGCTGAAGCGAACAGGAGGCTTGCTTGCTCCAGTGATGGAGGAACCGAAGGTTCCTCGCCTGCCCCCGCCCAGCTCTGAGCTCCAGATGCAACAATGTTGCAATTATAGAAGCTAAACAAGCTCCAGAAACCTGCTTTCAGCCTGCAGCGGGCTCAGAGCTTAGAGCAGTAGTGATGGCAACAGAATTTCAATTATAGAAGCTAAACAAAGCCCAGATATCTGCTTTCAGCAGCCAAGGCCTCAAGCTGGAGCCAGCCTCAGAGCTAAAGCCGGCTCTCAGCTCCAGTGACAGCCATAGAAAGTAAATAAATCCCAGAATAAAAAAGACAAAAAAAGAAAAAAAGGAGTGGCTGGGAGCTTCAGTCACCCGCCAGCCTAAAAAAAGCCCTCAGCCCCTCATCCAGACTGGCCGGGCACCTCAGTGGGGACCCCCACCCTAAAGGGGGTGCAGGCAGCCTAAAAACAGCCATCAGCCCATCATCCAGACTGGCCAGGCACGAAAACGGGACCCCCACCCTGATCCGCGACACCCTTTAGGGCAAACCAGCCGGCACCCACCCGTGCACCAGGCCTCTATCCTATACTACAGGCAGGGCGGGACAGCGCGAGCTGCCATCTGGGCCCCATGTGCAGCCCTGGGCAGCGGAGCATAAGCCCCGCCCCCTTCCGGGACCACTATGTGCCACCTGAGTCCCTAGCTGGGACCCCCGTGCCGCCTAAGCCCCACACTGCTAAGCCCTGCCCCCAGCCGGGACCCTATGACTATTGGAGAGCAGGAAAGTGCCACTGGGCCCTAGGTCACTGTGGTGATCTGGCCATAGGTAAGTAGAAAAGTGCAGCCTGTAGGCAGCCCCCAGCTGCGCCTGATCAGGGAGCAGGAAAGCCCGGCCTGTAGGCAGCCCCCAGCTGGGCCTGCTCCCCAATCACCATGGGGATCTGGGAGCAGGAGAGCAAGCCCGGCCTTTGGGCAGCCCCCAGCTGGGCCTGCTCCCCTGTCACCATGGTGATCCTGGAGCAGGAAAGCCCGGCTTGCAAGCAGCACCCCATCCTGCCATAGCTCAAGGGAGAGTACAACATGCAGTG